ACTTGATGATCTCTTATACTGAAAGTGGGAGAATCAAGAAAGTCTTGACGGTGTGTTAACTTTTCAGGATAATTAGCTGTGTCGAGAAATGGAACCGTGCAGAAGGAACTCCACAGGTTTAAAACGTTATCCTACTATTGTCCTAATAGATAATTGCATGATATGGTTCCTCTTCTTATTACTAAAGTAATAAAACGTGTCACCAAGATTTCCAACCTCTTGAAATATCAAAGTTCTGCAGGTTAAATTGTTCACTCAAATTTGTACTTGATCCAAAATAGTGGACACAAGTTATTTTAAACAGAACAATGATTATGCCTTTTCGGGAAATCTTCTTTTATATTTGTAATGGGCAGTGAGTGCTTCCTTCATACCCCTCTCCCATAAACCTCATGCACCTTTCTGTGCTGAAGATTTTGCGAACTTCGCGATGCACCTAAACATTGAAGTTTTTCCTTCTTGAGCTGGTTTTTGACGGTAATGACATGACATCAACTGCACCGCAACTTTCAGACCTATTTCATACCTTTTTGAACACTATAATTAGCTTGTTGCCAACAAATAACTCAGCTCACATTTTGCTTCTCATGATCTGATTTGCAAGTTTGACTTCAAAAGTAGGTGAAATGTAGCGTGAATAAATGCATATTCCATTTTTACTAAACATTAGAATATTTCCAGGTTGCATACACCTTTGATGCTGGGCCAAATGCTGTTCTGATTGCACGTAACAGAAAGGCTGCCGCACTTATGCTTCAGAGGCTTCTTTTCCACTTCCCTCCAAATTCAGATACCAATCTAGACAGGTACGTCTTTCATATAAAAGATTCAAAGTTCTAATATAACTATGCAGGAAGTCATGTTCGAGAAAATGTTTTCTGGAAAGTGACTTTATTCTTTAGGAAGTATACTCCGAGAAAATGTTTTCCGGTCTTTGGTTTGGGGTTAGTAAATATCTTTTATTATTAACACACAGATAAATGTCTTGACAATTTTTTGAGTAGTAAAGATTCATTATGTATCAAGTGCTAGTATAAGCGGTGATATGAAGTTAAGAGTTGATATAATTGTGAAGGGAAATGATTTCCGTCCAAAAGTGAAGATAGTCATGTTCCTTTCAGATGCAAAATATTTTTCTTAAGAATTATTTTCTGGAACCAAACGCCAGCTTTGATGGAAAATATTTTCTTCCATACAAACACACCCCACCATGATATGAATTCTGGACCTTGTGCTATTTATATGCAACCATTGACCATCTTCACTGCTCCTTATTGTTCTTTTTCCTTTCTCTCCAGCTATGTCATTGGCGATAAGTCAATTCTGAAGGATGCTGGGATTCAGGATTTAAACGACGTGGAAGCATTACCACCTCCACCTGAAATTAAGGACAAGGTTCCGGCTCAGAAATGCAAAGGTGAAATAAGCTACTTCATCTGCACAAGACCTGGCAGAGGTCCAGTTTTGCTACCTGACGAAAATCAGGCTCTCCTCTGCCTTGAAACTGGTTTGCCCAAGTAAAAGAGCAAGTTTTATTTGTGCTAATGTTTAAGTAATCGACACAACTCCACGAGATCCAAGTATTGCAGCCTCTTTGCCTTAAGAGATGGGGAACTGTTTTTTTTTTTTTATGTTTGGATAAAATTTGAACTCAAAGCTTTTGCTTGTAGCTTAGCTTAATTGTGTACTCTCATCTTTGAGCAATGCAATAAAAGTCCTCAAAATTTCCTTTTTTGTTAATGTCAACATATCTTTTAATTTCAATTAGTGTTGAGAATTCAAATGATCTGTTGCTTGCTGTTTGTGTAGTAGCAATCCTTACTGAATGTTGTCTGTTTTCCTTCTTGAGCAGTGTTAATATTATATCTACTTTATTGAAAGTATATTTACTATTTACTAGTATAATTTATTGAGTTACATATATCCTATTGTACTTGCAACATTTTAAACCAAAACAAGAAAAAAAGGATAGATGAGCGGACCCATAATCCAGTTCTTTAAGAGTGTAGTGTTTGTTTAGCTTCTGCTTTCACTTGTTATCTACAAGATAATAGGCTGTTTTGTTATTAAAATATATTAACTCTTCTATGTTGTTTGGCTGTGTATGACTACATGTAGTGGAATCAAGGAGGTACATGAGAAGAAGATGAATCATATGAACTCTTGATACTTTCTGTAATTTTTAGTTTATTTGTTCTTCTTTAGGATGCATTTCTTGTTTAATGATGGATCATGTCTTTGATTATCTTCTCTGGTTTTGCTACAGAAATTGGTTAAAATAGTTGTGCAGGAAATTTATAATTCACATTTGTGCAGTCTTCGAAAGCTGAGCTCATATATTTCCCCCTTTCCCTCTATTTTGAGCAAGGAGAAAGATTTGTATACTGCAGTTTTTTGTTGCTGAGTCTTGACATTTTTACATTACTTTTGCTCATTGTGTAGGAAATATCCCTTGATGGAGCCAGATACCAAAATTGTCTAAGAGAAATTCGAGCTCGTGCTAATGATTATGAGGATAAGAAGAAGGGTATCAAGATCAGTAAAAATGATTGGCAGAACTTGCATGTGCATATTGATTCTTACAATAATTTTCCTACTGCTGCTGGTCTGGCTTCCTCAGCTGCTGGTTTTGCCTGCCTTGGTATGATTAATCGTTCTCTTTCTTGTATTCTGAAAGTCACTCCTTTTTTTATTTCATTGATATTCTAATATTAAAGATCTAAGGATATCGGTGAATCTTGAACCTAAGGATGATCAATGAATCCTGAAAAGTAACTGGAGTACTCTTATACAAGAGTTTCAGAAGTTAGTTCTTTTCTGCATGCATTTGCGTAATTCTCATTTAGTATAAGGTGTTTGCAAATTGCATGTGCCTGGAACTGATGCAACGATGTAATTACCTTATTTAGTCAGTACACATGTGCTTGTTCTGTGGTCTATAAAGTCCAAATTAACTTTGTTTGTTTCTGAGTATATGACACTAGAAATTAATTTCATTGAGGCTTTGCTGTGCTCAAATCTGTGATTTGTTTTCAACTAGCAAAGATCAAAGTGAGACATTTGTATTTTTCAGAGCGTTCCAACACTTTGGGTTCTTTTTCCAGCTTGACAGAATGCATGTAGGTTAAAACCATTATCTTTTCTGAAGTGTTGCATGTATCTTTTCTGGGTATTTTTCTATTGGCATGACCTTTGGTTCTATTATCAGTAATATCATATTACTTGAGCTGGTTTTGACGGTAATGACATGACATCAACTGCACCAGTATCTTGACACTATAACAAGCAACTTCCAGACTTATTTCTTACCTTTTTGAACACTATAATTAGCCTTGTTGCTGATGAATGTCTTCAGTTTACATTTTGCTTCTTATGATCTGCTGTTGCAAGTTTGACTTCAAAAGTAGGTGCAATGTAATCTGAATAAGTGCATATTCCATTTTTACTAAACATAAGAATATTTCCAGGTCGCATACACCTTCGATGCTGGGCCAAATGCTGTTCTAATTGCACGTAACAGAAAGGCTGCCACACTTATGCTTCAGAGGCTTCTTTTCCACTTCCCTCCAAATTCAGATACCGATCTAGACAGGTACGTCTTTCATAAAATTTGAACTCAAAGCTTTTGCTTGTAGCTTAGCTTAGTTGTGTACTCTCATCTTTGAGCAATGCAATAAAAGTCCTCAAAATTTCCTTTTTTTGTTAATGTCAACAGATCTTTTAATTTCAATTAGTGTGGAGAATTCAAATGATCTGTTTCTTGCTGTTTGTGTAGTAGCAATCCTTACTGAATGTTGTCTGTTTTCCTTCTTGAGCAGTGTTAATATTATATCTACTTTATTGAAAGTATATTTACTATTTACTAGTATAATTTATTGAGTTACATATATCCTATTGTACTTGCAACATTTTAAACCAAAACAAGAAAAAAAGGATAGATGAGCGGACCCATAATCCACCATGTTTTGAACTGTGTGGTAGTAACTCTGTTTCTCAATTATGAAAAAAAGAACTGAAAATTTTGTATTTTGATGTTTTTCCGCTAAGGGTGTGTTTGGTATGAGGAAAATGTTTTCTTGAAAAAATACTTTTTGTAAATTTCTTATTTATTTTTTTGTGTTCTACTTGTGTCAAAATTCTAATTTCTGTCATAATTCAAGACTTGTAAACAAACTGTGTTGCAATCAAACTACATCTCCTTCTATAGTCACTGGAGACAAACGCCAAAACCAATTTTAAAATATTGTGAATATTTTTAACAATTACAAGATGGACATAATTCTTACAATAATATTGGAATGTATAATTGGGAATTATAAAAGAACAATTTACAAAGATTTTTTTCTCACAAGGAATTATCATCTTTCCTGTTTAAGAATGCACTCGCTGATCCTGGAAAAGATACAGATACAAGTAATCAACCCCCGGAAACATTGAGAGATCCATCATCAGAAAAGCTTACATCTTTTGATACTACTGCAGTAAAAGTTTCTGAAAACAGTAAATTGGAGCAAATAGCACTTATTACTACTGTTCAGAAAAGCCCCATGGACAGGGATGAGATCATGGTTGAATCACAACTATCTCTAACAACAAGTAAACATTCTGAAGATCTCCTACCATCTAAGAGTAATGTGGTATCTCTAGGATCGGAAAATATCGCGGACGATGCATCTAGAAAGGAGGTGGCAGAAGCTAGCGATGCTGGATTTGCTTCGCCGCTGATGATGAATTTAGACAGAGGTAAAGAGTTGATGCATGAATCTGATAATGAGTCAATTCCTGATATTGTTGATGTTGAGCCTGATTCTGATTAAATAGAGAACAGCCTAGCCTATATAGTGGTCCATATTATATTTATTATATCTTGTATTGGGTGGAAAATTGTATTTGCCTGTCAAAATCATCATCAGTCACCTGGCTTTTTCTCTCTGAGGGAGATTAGGGAAAACTTGATGTATCGTATCAGGTTTTACCACTTCCATGGTCGCGGTAGGGAATTGGGATGTGTTATTTTCTCGATTTATGCATGTTATCCTTGCACAACAATGGGGTCATGCTAATTTTCTCTGTATCGTTCCAATTTTATTCCAATGGGGTTAAATTTGTGACTATAAGCCACTAGGTTTTGGATTTTGAATTTATTAGCTAGATTGGGTAAGAGTTTTTCATTTATCTGTGTTTCAAAGGTGTTGTGACTCTTTAAGTTGTAATATCCTGCTATTGAGATGAATTCCAATACAATCCTTGACAAGGATGCCAATTTTGAAAAGAGTGGATAGGGTTTTTAATATGTTTTCTTCATTAAAGGTGTTGAATTTTCTGAATACAAATATATTTTAATGAAATTTTAGGGGTAAGCATTGTAATTGTGTCTCTCCTACTTATTTTTTAAATTTTATCACTTTTTTGTTGATTATCGTATTTTCTTCATTAAAGGTGTTCAAACATATGTTTGATTTGAGTCATGACTTTATTGGAAATAATCTCTTTATCTTCATAAGGTAGAGATTCTATTGCGTACACATTACCCTCCATAGACTCTATTGGTGGGAATCAAATACAGTGGAAGAAAGATGATCCAAATTTTGTCGTAATAAAGTATTTTAACGTTAGTTTAGTTAATTGAAGTTTTAGACCAAGGAATTTGCGAAATCACTCACATAGTTTCTATGGAGGGGTAAGTATTTCTTTATTCATAATCAAAAATCTTGGATTTGAATTCTAGATATGAGTCGCCTCTGATAGGGAGGTGGATATTTCAATACGAATCAAATTAGTCAAATCTCAAAATGCATATAGGTATTTAATCAAAAATCCCAAGTTCGAACCTTAGGTATGAGTTGCCTTTTATTAGGTATCGTTACCCCCAAATGAGACTTCCCTTTACAAATTTGAATTAGTAGAGTTCCAAAATGAAAAATGTATATCGATCACCAGATTAGAAACAAAAAATAAATAAAATTTGTAAAACAGTCAACTCTGGCCTACTAATATGTGGCACTCCTATGGCTAAATAAAGTCAATTAAGAAGTGTGATTATTTCAACAAAGTACTAATGAATTAACTGCCTTCGACGGCTCAATTGATTCTTTATTATTAATGGATTTTATATGGTAAAGTCCCATTCAACTGATTAATGAAAAATGAAATAAAAAACAAGTACTATTTAATAATCCTAATAGTATCATTTTAGCTTTTGAGTTTTGACTGATATTTTCCAGAATTCTAACTAAGATCAATAATAAAAAATAATTGCATGTTTTGCTTGAATGAAGAGGAGATAAACTTTTTTTAAAGTAAAATTGAACATAATTTTTTTATATATACAATATAATTTTTCGATCAAGAAGGTTCAGATAAATTTCTTTTCCGATAAAAAATATAGTAATTGGAAGGAGTTAATAGCTGTCATAATTTGACCTCAAGAGTGTGACTTTAACAAATATATTGCAACATGTGAGAAAGTTGGTGCAGTGGCATTCGGCCATCCAACAATTAAGACCACGTTTGGATGGATTTTTTTAAAGTTATAAATTAGAATTTTCAATTTATGATTTTTTGAATTATTTTTATTATTTTAAAAGTATTTAATGTATTACTATTAAAACTGTTTAAAATATCATGTTAACTTAAAAATATTTAAAATAAGCAATTCCTAACTCCTAAGTCCAAGAAAGTTCACTTTGATCTTCAAGATCTTTTTATTTTTTAATTCTTATGAAATATAGATGTTTTTAATATCTATATTCTAGACTATATTTTATTCTGTATTTTGTTTGGTTTCTGCCTAGGCCAAATCTCTATCTTGGCTCATTTAAATAATAATAAAACGATATTTTTTTATTTAATTAGAAAGCAAAGCTCACAGACCAATGTGTACTGTGTAGCAACAAAATTTGGAATAAATTTTAGATTTCATCATTTTTCTATTTTTTTTTTTGTTAATACTATAACTCATATTTGTTCATTTAATTAGAAAAAAACATTTTAGGTGTTATTTAAAGTAAAAATTTTTTTAGGTTTTTTGTATTCAAAGTTTTATCCCCCCCACCTCATCCACGTAAAAAAAAAAGAAACTTATTTTAACAGTAAAACACTTTTAATATTTTCAAGGCTCAAACTTAATATTTAATAATCTTTATGCTTTAATGAGGATATCAAAAAGAAGAAAAAAAAATCTTAACATGCTTTCTAGATAATATTATTTTTTTTCTAGAAAATAATATAAACTTATATAAGACACTATATCATTTAGAAATTATACGATGTAAATATCAATCTATAAGAAGTGAAACTTTAAATTAACTTGTGCCCACTTTTTTTTATTATTATTATTGTCATGTAAATGCCAACAAACATAGAAATGGGCATATGTACCAATCTCGTACGTACTATTTTTTATATTATTAAATAAAATGGGCATCACGACAATCTTCTACGTACTATTATTGTTTATTAAATCAATATAAGTCTTATCTTGGAGATAATTTTTTTTAAATAGAAACTAACGGTGCAATTTCATATTTTATCATGATTAATTATAAGTTTTGAAATTTGAGTTCTACGATGATAGCATAATTTTGACGTGAGAATATATTATTAACCTCTCTGATTTCAGCAATTAGTTTTTAGCGTACAATTATTCTTCATATGCATCATCATAAATAATGATAACGATATAATAATATTTACAAGAAATTTATAATGTCTAAAGTATAGCCAGATGAAAAATAAACGTCTTGACTCGAAAATGGCTACCTATATATTTTGTGAAAGCTACTTAGTGTGCATGCTTGACTAATAAGATGACAAACATTATTAAAACGTTGTCTGCGTAGCTCATGTACTTTTCTATGACTAAAAATAAAATTAATAAGGAAGTCATTCATGTAAAGGTAATTTTTTTAAAACTTCCTCCAAAAAAATTTATATGCACAAACATTATCCAAGAATTTAGTTAATTTAACGAATATAAACTTCCTCCTTTTAAAAAAAAAATAAAATTCGACGTAACAAAAATATGAATCGTTTCGTGTAAATTATATGTCAAAAGACTCGAAATATCGAGATGATTTTCTACTCTAAATTTTTGGGATGGTTTAGAGGTGATTTTAAGTTGATTGAGATTGAATAATCGACGTTACTTCATATATAATCAATTTTTAAGTGTATAATTAAACTATATTCAACTTTATAAGCGTATCATAATGTATAGTCAATGCATAACTCATGTATTAAGTTACATTGGTCAGTATATACTTTCTAAAACTTTTGACAAGTTATATTGTATAGTCACGTATACTTATAATTTTAGCGATCTTTTTATATAAATAAAACATAACTATATTTGTTGTAAACTAATTACTCCCTCCGTCCCTTTTTATGTGTCATATTTTTACTTTGCACTTGCATTACGAAATGATGTAACTTTATCTTTCTACCCTTATTTAGTTTTTTTTGGAACTCAAGTTTTCAATCAATGAATATGAATTAATTTATTTTGACTAATTAATTTAACCAATTAACATGAATCATTTACTTAGCTTTTCTAAGTTGGTCAAATATATATTTTCAAGGCTAATAACTCACGAGGATAAAAAAGGAACAATATGGTAATTTATACATTGATTTTATGAAAGGACAAGTATTATGAATTAACTATTTATAATAAGAGATGATATATAAAAAGGAACGGATGGAGTACTTTATTGTACATATTCGAAACTAATCGGCCTTTTTTTTCCTATTTTTGTTGGACACCCTTGCTAATAATTGTAGCACTCCACATTGAGTTACTTTCTTTACTCCAAAACAAAAAAGAGAATACACACATTTAAATTTTTCTGTCGCATTTATATATCCTTTTAAAACAATTGATTTAAAGGTCGTTAAGTAATGTTTCATAATAATATTATTTTAATAAATATAATATTTAGATAAATTATAATATTATTTTTATTATTACTAATATCAAACACATTAACAATTCAAATGATAAAGTAAATAACGTAATCATATTAAATCTTTTTTTATCACATCAAATTGACGTTACATAAAATGAGATTTTTCGTTATTACCTGCCGATAAATTTAAATATAGACTATCCAAACAAGGTGTAAGTGATTTGCCAACGAGAAATAAACAATAAACAAACTTCTTTCTCATTCAACAATGGAGGTTGTTCCTCACTCACTACTATATATTAGCAGCCATGCTCCTTCACATGTAGTATAAATACTCTACTAAACACAAATTTAACACCAACCCACATTTCCATTTTTGTAGATCTAAATCCCCAAATTCCATTCTTTGGAATTAACGCCCTCAATTTTTTTTCGCCATGGCTGAACAATCAAAGAAATGGATTCTTATGGTGACTGCTCAAACACCAACAAACATAGCAGTGATTAAATATTGGGGAAAAAGAGATGAAAATCTTATTCTTGCTATTAATGATAGTATTAGTGTTACCCTTGATCCTGCTCATCTTTGTACCACAACCACTGTTGCTGTTAGCCCTTCTTTCCAACAAGATCGCATGTGGCTTAACAAAAAGGTAACTTTTTAAAAAATAAAATAAAATTTCTTAGTTTAATTTGTTTAGAGATTTGATTGGTATTTGTTTGGTTGATTTATGTGATGTGGTAAGGGAAGGGGAAGGGGAAATGGGGAGGGGATTACAAGGTGGGACTCGAACCCTCGCCAACAAAGTAAGAGTTCAGATAGTTAACGAACTGAGCTATTAAGATTCGCTTGTGTCCCTACAACATTATTAATTTGTACAATTTTAAAAAAAAAAGTTGGGGGTAGGTGAGGGTTATAAGGTGGGAATCGAAGCCTCTAAGGTGAATGTTCTTAGCGAACCGACTGAGCTACTAAGATTACCTAGTGTACCTTCAACATTATTGATTTGTACTTTTAAAAAAATATAATTGGGGGTAGGTGAGGATCACAAGGTGGGAATCAAATCTCACTAACAAGGTGAAAGTTCTTAGCTAATTAACTAAGCTACTAAGATTACCTATTGATCTATGTAATGGAAAACTGGTTTGGCAGCTGAGATGTTTAGAAAGTTCTGTTCTTGATGAGTTAAAAGTGGAG